AATTATACAACACCACCATTATATTCCATATATTAAGGTAGTTTCATGTGTTCATATTTCTCTAATTTTACATGGAACATAATTTCTCTAATATATTTGGTAACTATTTTAGGATTGTGTTGAATTGATTGTGCACATGTGGATGCACATGTTTGTAACAGTGCATAGATTACATAATTTGGATGATATGGGTCACCAACAAATGATGTGATGGTTATTTGGGATTTTAATATGTGTTTCACGATTGTAGTGGCTAGACGGGAAGACAGTGCGCACGGCAATGTATTTTCAATTTTGCTACGAGAACTCAAAACAATCAATTCCCAAAGCTACCTCCAGGTTAGCTCGAATATTAACAAACGAAATACTAATAACTGATACAAAATTAATGATATTTTTACACTACGGAAATATGATTTAGTTGACACTGGATATTCATTACAAAGAGGGTATCTCAAACCTTTTTCTGATACCAAATATTACATTTCTGATTTTGAGAGGACTAGCGATGTCACTTGGGGTAGAAAAGAAATGTTCAACAAGAGACACTCCTCCTAACAAGGTGATATTGAAAGGACATTTGGAGTTTGGAAGAAGAAGTGAGTCATATTGCATGATATGCTTACATATTTGTTTCCCAAATAAGTGTAGATTATGGTTGCCATGATGAATTTCCAAAATGACATTTGGCGATGTTCTTTGTGCAACTATGATTTCAATAAGGCCGATGAAGATCATTCACATGACCATATTGAAGCATTTGAGTATTCCCTTAGACAATATTTATCACAAGTTAAAATTGAATTGCCTGAGGCTTGCACCCAATAATGGAAGGTGGAAGCGAGTTGATAAAGTTGAGGGAGTCAATTACAAATTCTATAATTGGAGACTGAATGGAGGGAACATCTACTTTTTGTTGCTACTATATTTGTAATGTGTATTGAAATATTTATTATTTGTTGTATCAGTATTTTATACAAGTCATGTTTATTTGGAATCGCAATTTTATTTTTATTTCTTATGCATGTTTTCTTTCCCAATGGTCGATGAGGCAACCATGGATAAATTTTGTGATCTAAATAATCCATGTGTTTTTTTTTTGTTTTGGATGTTTATGATGAGATATTCAACCTTAAGGGGTCTTTTAAATGACCTATATGTCGCAGTTGCTTTTTTTCACATGTGAAATCCCAATAAAAGCAACCCCATTTTCAGTGCTATGTCTTATAAAGTTCTTCCGGATGACCTTTTTATTTGGAATATATATATATATATATATA